GATGTGCCAAGCAGCTGCACCAGCGTCCGCAGAGCCCAGCTTGTTGCCAGCAGCGGATGCATGCACGCCTCGGGGTGAATGGTGGGGAAGGAGCCAGGGACTGCTCTGCCACAACAAGGATTGTGCCCTTCACTGCTCCTCTGCCATCTGCCACTGGTAATGAGCTGCACCGGGGCTCCGTAGACCCCAGTGCAGCTGTTTGTAGTCTCCCAGCTGCCTGCCACAGCTGACCCGAGCTCTGGGCAGGCTCTTGTTGCCTGCCACAGAACCCGGGCTGTTTGCAGCAGGCATTGGGGAGGCTGCAAGCCGAACCCTGGCCTGGCGCTCTGCTGGTGGTGGGTGCACATGTGCCTTAGGGCAGATGGTGGGGGACCCAAAGGGGCCCGATCCTTGTTGTGGCAGTACAGCCGTAGCCCCTTCAGTGCCGTCTGCCCCAAGGCACGTGTGCCAAGCAAAATGCCTTCATGTGCCACGCTCTGACATGTGCTGGGGTTGCTAACCCCTGCTCTAGTTATTTAAGGTATTTTTATTAAACTTTAAAGTTTCTAGCCTAGCAGTTTTTATTTTCGAATTGATTTTTAAAGCATGGTAAAATTTTTAGGGTCTTAATAACGAAAGGAAATAAAGAAGGCTGGAGGTAGTTTCTGCAAGTCCTTCTCACACCAAGATAGCTAGCGCTGTGCAGGGGGTGGGTGAGGTGCATCTGCTTATTTTGTAGACAGTTTTGCCATACAGTTTAAGTGCGGTGCAACTCATGATCTGCAGAGACCTCAAGTTTTACCTGGTGAATATTTTAGGTGTGGAGTCTCAAATCAAAGGACTCCATGCACATTGGTTTTCTGAACCAAGAGTTCTCATGAATGGAAACGTCCACTGTTAATCACCCAGCAATTGGCGAATACACCCAGCTGGCACTTAGTGGTGAAAAGTGTTGGTGAAAAGAGGCCTAATTGGCAAGTGTAAAACTTCTTCAAAATGCTGTAATACAAATATACAAGCCACAGCAGTTCTAGCTCACTGGTAAGTGAATAACTGCTGAGATCTATCAAGCACCTCAAGACCAGATCAAAACCAAATGCCTATGTACTCATGACTGCCCAGTGTGACAGCAGGCAATATGATCAAAATAAGTATTAAAATTTGTATCCCTAACATGATGTGAAAAACAATATATGGGTGTAGTTTGTCCTGAAGACTCCTTTTCTGACATGAAGGATCCAGAATACATTTTCTTAAACCTTCTATGAAAGCTGTTTTTTGGTATTAATTTTTTTTTAAAAGAAAGGAAATTAAATACAATCTTCTGTCTTGAAAGAACTGTTACAGATGGGCCATTTGCAAGCAACTCAGTTAAGTCCCAAGTGTCACCGTTAGATGTGAACTGTTCTGCCCACACTGTATGATGCTTAACAGTTGTTTTTCTAAGCAACCAGAGGCACAGTTGTTTAACTGTACCAGTAACCCAGTTGACTTTGGTCCATATGGCTGGCAAGTGTCTTGTCTTTATAACTAATTGGTGTATCTGCACCTACTAGCTTGCCTAAAAGTTGGTATCTGTATTCAGGACATCTATCTCATGCTCCTTCAGCAGGGGTGGATGCATTCTTACCTGGCATGACAATCCACTTTTATGCGGGGCAGTACACTCGGGGGAGAAAACTAGCTGCTTGGGATCCCATGTACCCTTCCAAAATTGCTGTGCTACATTATCTTGTTTCCAGCTCACCATGCACTCCGAGTGGAAATGTTGGCTGGCTCAGTTGCTTCGAGTTTGAATTAAAAGATGCGTACTCACACGCAGCCCTACTTTAAATGAACCATGACAGTTCAAAGACAGTTAAAATTTGGGAAGTGAACAGAATCTTAGGCATGACAGACCTGAGTTAAGGAGAGAACTTCAGCCTTAACTCTGACTCCCCTGGCGTGTGTCAGCTTGCGAGACAAATTGGGATTGCTTTAAAGTTAGGTTTAAAACTGAAAGCAAAACCCCATGCTTGACTGTCTGTCCAGTTCTCCCTTTAGTTTAAATCATTCTGTTTCTGGGTAGCATTTAAACTACTGTGTTGTTGGATAAATGGGAGCAGTCCAGTACTTTTTGACCTCTTGCATGTCTGTAGACACATGTAGTACAGCTTCAAAATGCTGTTCATTAGGTTGCGTCTGTCTTTTGATGTGAGAATTCTGCAGAGACTGGCTGTAAGTCTACATCCAGGAAGCGATTGGGGGCGGGGGAAACATGTTCCTAGTTTCTTTATCTAAATGCTCCCTGCTCTTTGAGAATCTGGTAGGTGAGGGGTGCTTCCTCTGTCCATTCCACGTTTTCCTTTTCCTACTCCTGCTTTCTGCACAGTATAGATGGAAGATTACTGATCAAACAGTTCTCCTTTTCACAAGACTTTTCAGCCTGTCCTCCAAAGAACCCATATGAAGAACTTTTAAAAAAATCTAAACTGCTTTGAGCTAATTTGGTTGATGCAAGTTGTATTTTTTCACCAGTACTTCGAACCTTACTTTCGCGATAGTGGGACAGGTTAATATTTAAGCACCTGTGTAACGCATCATTGGCACACATGTGAGAGCACATGCTTTACTTTAAGAAGTTAGTGTTGGATTGGTGTCCTGTCTCTCTCACTCTGGAAGGCATTTAAGAATGTGTAGTCAACAAATAGTAGTAGCATACCAAGTAGTATACAAATACACTAGATTTCTTAGTCCTGCTGAGATGGGCGTATCTTCTCTGTGGTGCAGAATCAGTCCTGAACACTGGGGTGCTGTTGGCAAAATTCAGTTAACACTGAAAAACCCTTCGGGGCTCCGCTGTGGAGTTCTGGGATATGCCATCATGATCTTTTCCAAGAGGCAGGGCAAAAGGTATTGGAATATAACTGATGCATTTAGTTTCATAATTATATTTTTCTTGGCTCTTTGGGCAGCCAGCTTCATTATGCAGTGTCAGTTGTAAAGTGCTAAAAATCTGGACATATAGGTAGCATTGTCAGGAAGTTTTAAGTCTCTATTCACTGCCCAGCTGTGAAGTGGCTCTTCATACTATGATGACACGTGGAGTGCCAGCTGCAGAAGCAATAACACCATGCTTATGGTGGCTTTCTTAGACATGCTCACATAAAGAGGCCAAGACTTCATGCTTACCTCTGCATGTGGGGAATGATGTTCAAAGTGGCATAGCTGTGCTCCTAGCAGCTCTGACATCTGAGTAACACAAGTTCATCCAAAGCACCTTAAGTTCCCTCAGCGTTACCTAGCAAAGCTTCTTGGCCACCATGAGTTTCTACCGTTCCCCACCGAAATCACAGCTGTGCCTACTACCAGGCTGTAGTTCTAAACTAATTCTTGATGTCGCCCATCCCATCACTGGTTGATAAGTCCCAAGTGACTCCATCTTTTCCCAGCCTGGTCAGTGTTTGAAACTAACTCAGATAATTTATTAGTATGTATGCAAAGGCCACAGCCACCCTTCTTACTGTAGCAGAATGAAAGCTTATTGCACTGACTTGACTATATTATGACCTGTGGAAACCAACCGTGTCATGGTTTCACTTCTGTGGGTCCATGCTTGCCCTGTCAGCAGACACGGGCATAAACCTACTCCAGCAGGGATTTATTCTTCAGCAGTCCTTGGCCATAATTGTTGTGATGCCTGTGGTCTGCTGAAGTCCTGGTTGCACGCTCTCAGTATAACTCGCTCTTCTGGGTTTTTTCCAAGCTTCTCATCCTTCTACATGGCTGAAGAAAACAATACAACTGACTGCTGGGTCAAAAAAAGGCTGAAATCCTGAGATGTGTGTTTACAAGAGCAGTGTGCCCTCATCCCCCTCTTCCTCCCACTTAAGTATGGAGTACTCATGAAACACCGATTATGGTGCCTCTTGGCACTAGTATTTCCTTCTCAGTGGGGAGCTGGGGTATAGGTTATTGGTATGTATGCAAAGGATGCAGCCAGCCTCTTCCTGCAGCAAAATGAAAGTTTGTCGCTCTGCCTTGACTATTTGACTATGTTATGATCTGTGAAAATTTCCATTGTTGGAGACTCCAAGAGAACCAAGCCAAGAGGCTTCTTGGTAAGCCATGAATAAACCAAAATGAGCTTGGGAAGTAGTAATAGCCCAGCGTTTCATGTTGGTGCTGCTCATTTTGACTTACTGTTTGTTTTATTTTTTTTGTCTTTCTCCAGTACACCTCCAGCATGAGAGCCAAATACCTCGCCACCAACCAACCTCGCCCAGACTCTGGCAGTGTGCATTAAAAATAACACACAGTAAAACTAAACAGATGTGCCAACTGCTGTGCCCCCCACCTGTGCTGTCCTCAACCCTGCTGTCCTGCCCCAAACCCAGCGCAGATCCTCCTCCTCCTCCTCCTCCTCTTGTTTCTCCAGTACAAATCACCCCTCCAACCTGGTACCTGTCTATTGGGAATCTGAATGGAAGCCCCTTCCAAATTAAACTTACACCTAGCTGTACCTGGTAGGGGAAGGAAGAGAGAGAGAATGAGCATACACATGCAAGCATCTGAAAAAAAGATCACCAGCTCATCTAGGTTTGCTGTGTTCGGGGCCAGCCTATCGGGAAATGTTTGCAAACACCTCTGTTTCTGACCTTCCCCACTCTCCCTCCCCCCCCCCCCCCCCCCCTTCCAATGGCAAACCTGGGTACCAAGAGGGACTGGATGAAAAAAGATTTCTATCTTCAGCTTGGTGAGGGGATCAGGAAATCTGCTCAGCCTGCAGCATGCTGAAGAAGGAAATGGTCCTTGCACATGGCTGTCATGGGCAGAGAAGGAAAGCCATGCCCATGGGCCACCTCTTCGATGTCTGTGCAGCCGGTGTTTCTGCAGAAGTCGTCTTGCCTCTTGTCCCCTGTGGAAATCGCCTTCTGGTGCACTGAATATCTGCTTTACTTGGGAGCTCTACCTTGGCTTTATTTAGAACAAACAGAGCCACTGTGTCTCTGGTGATGTTGGTCAGCTCAATTCCTCTTTCTTTCCCCTTTCTATTCAGCTTTTGAATTCTCGAGGAGGAACAGGGTGTTCCCAGCACCAGCCAGCTGCCCTGGATGTGTCCCTGCCTGGCCATAACTCTGCACCTGACCTTTCTGCTCCATCAGGGAAGCCCATGTCTTCGCAGATGGCATTCTGGGCACTGCCTTTGTGAGATCGGCACACCAAGATCAAATGAGCCAGCAACCAACCCACTTGGTGCCAAATTTTTCCAGGAAAAGACTTTGTAAGGGTGTAAAGGTTTCTTTTTTTTTTTCCTTTTGCACTAACTAGTTTCCGCTCTCTAGGGCAGTAGCCTGGCACTTGGTTTTGTGGGACAGTCAACTTGCAAAGGCAAAAGAGACTAAATGCCAGTGGATTTATAACAAATGCAAGAACTCCGAGGGAGTGGCCCGTCAGATTGCTGGACTCTTCTTATGAGTTGGGGTGGTGTGTTGCATAGAAATATGGAGTCTCAGAGCATTGGCTATAATGGGAATCCCTGGGGCGCACACCCCAAACACCTCAAAAGATTGGCAATTTCACTACCACCTTTCCTCGCCAGGATCATAAATCGAAGCGAAGTCTTAAAACTATTGTGAATGTCAGAATGAGGTTTTTTATTGTATTTTTATTCCTCCTCATGTTGCTAACCACTAACGTCAGGCACATGCATACAGACTCCTAGAGCCTCCTTGGCATGGAACACAGGTGTGGTAGGTGGAGGGTGGGGGACAGTTTGGTGCCGGGAGAGGGGGAAGGCATCACACATCAATTTCGCACTTTCCATTGAAGAATGGTGCTCTACAGGGCAGAGACCACTTCATATTAGAAAAGAACCCACCCTGCAGCGATGATGCAAGTAGTGTGTAGTGTTCATTCTCAAGTAAGTAAAAGACACCTTCTTTTATTTTACCGTTCTGTACAAGCCATTTTGACCCAGTCGTATGGGTTGATGTCAAGCCAGTGACAGGAGGAGTCAAAGTAAGCATTGGGGTTGGGACACTGGACAAGACGGCTCAAACCTCGCTCTGTGATGTCCAGACTGCATCAGAGGAAGAGGATCCGTTTCTCACCTTTCTGTTCTTTCAGCATAGAGTGTACATTTACATGGGCCCTTCAGCCTACCACTGCCTCTCCTCGGGCCGCTGTCATTGGATTCCCTCAGACTTGTAACCAGATCTGTGCACCGTGCCCCCATGCTTCGACTAGGTCATGAGTTATCTTATCATCGCTCTGTGGATTGTTGCATATTCCACTGCTCATTAACCAGGGTGCTAACACTTCCCTTAGCAAGTCACCTATTTGGAGGGAAGGGTGTTGGGGAGGGGTGAGTCCTGAGATGCCTTTAAGAAACTGGTAGCTAGCAAGTTCTGGGTAACCTTCAGACCCTTGGAGAAACAGGGTGAAGGAAGGGAAACAGCACACAGCCCAGTTCTCTGAGAAGGAAAGGCTTTGAGGAAAATGCTGCCATGCGCTACTCCCCTTCTCTTAGTCTGATGGGAAAGCTGAGCACATCTGTGTGTGTGTGTGTGTGTGTGTGTGTGTGTGTGTGTACACAGACCAGTTAGCCGATCAGCCTCTGGCCGGCCACCTGGATACTTACAGTATGGCAGTGGGTGTAACCAACTGGGAAAATCAAAACTGTATTGTCAGTATTTCAAAGCCCCATGGTTTCCCCCTTAGTAAGCACATCAAATCCTTTCCCAGGTCATCTCAGCCAGCTAGGGTCTGCAGGCTCCAAAATACCACTTACAGTTGTAGTTTTAGAGAGGTGTTGTCATTAAATTTGCTGCCTGCCTCTTGGTACCATGGCCCCGGTCCTCGGAGGCAAATGCTTCTTGGAGGAGAAGGCGGCAGAAGGAGGGAACCTTTCATCAAACAGGTGCTTTCATGGGCTGACTTTGCTGTATGAAGGATGCAGCATCACTCTTCATGTGTCCCATGGGGCCATGGATGGAGGTGGGATGTGGAATGCCTCTGTTCCTACTGTCCATGTTAGTAAGGAGAAAAAAGCTAGTACCTTTCCGGGCAGCATCCAGGTCAGAAATGGTGTCAGCTTGCTTTCATCCAAGGCTTGGCTTAACTACATGCATTGTTTACAGCACAGTTTACAACGCTGATGGGGGTTCAGAGTTCTGTAGCAAGGTGCAAGTTGACTTGCATGCTACTTGACTGTAGTGTGCAGTGAGAGGGTAATGCCGTGGAGATAACCTCTCCCCCGCCACCTCCCTCAACCCCACATCCCCGAGAAGGCCAGAGAAGCAAGGTTGTGGGGCGAGCTGTGGTGCTCCATATTCCAGCCAGGACTTCCTTTACTTGACACAGATTTTGCACTTTTGTAAAGAACGGGAGCCCTGCTCTCCTGGAGCATGCGATACAGGAGCCTGCATATGTTACCACAACTTTTTTTTTTTTTTAATGGATCCTTGGGCCACACTGCAGAATTCCTCGGGGCAAGTCCAAATGGGTCTGCTTCAGAGCCAGTAGTGTGTTGATTCACCCAGGTGTAAAATGAATGGCAGAGCCTAAGTGGCCAATCTGGTGTAGTCTGTACATACCCTGAACTGATGCTATCGCAGCATGTCTGTGGCGTGGCCCTTTCCCAGCAGAAGATCTCCCAGCCTGACTCCCCCTCTAGGGTGAACGGCAGATGCTGACTGGCACAGAGTAACATGTTCAATGGCATTACTGGTAACCAGAATCCAAGCTCTCGGACGTGTAGTGAGTAAAGCTGCAGAGATTTTTTTTTTTTTTTTTCTTTTTTTTCCCTCTTCCATAACTTGTATCTGTTTTTTAATGTGATGAAATATCAATGCCATATCACTTGGGATGGGCTGCATCCCAGCTTGACTTGTTGACAGCGTATCATCTCGGAACCTGAGCCATGTTACTGTTTGCTAGTACAAGGCTCCAACCATCAGGGGAGATAACTCTGACCTCTGGGAACCTCACTAACAGCAAAATGGAAGGCAGCTTCTCTCTGTTCAAAGGTGACTGCAACAGTGAAGACTCTTCGTATTCTTTTTTTTTTTTTTTTTTTAGAAGCACAAACACGGCCATCAGCTTGACCGGTTGGTTTGGTTGCTTTCCATCACATAGCCACGTGCAGTTTTAATTTGGAAGTGAACTCTTTCAAGCACACAAGCATCTCCAAAATGTGAAATGTAAATAGCATGTTGGACTCTTATGTCCAGTGTTCAAGACTGCATTGTAATTGTAAAGGAATTTTGAATCAAGACTTGGCTGTGAATTTCTTGTGCTGTCTTGGGAATAATAACTGTAGTGTTTGTATCCTGTATGTAATATTAACTGAGTTCATTTTACTTGCTGATAAAAGGGTTCAAGTGGAGTTTTTAGCATCTATCTATCCCTCCAATAACTGGAGGGATCAGGGGCTACTTTTCTTCAGGCACCCCTGTTTAATTTCTCTCCACGGAAAGGTATTAATTATTTAAGCATAGCCAACTCGGCTCAGACAAAGGGATGCTTTGGAGCTGGACATTCTTACAGGGGGAGTTCTTATTATCATGATTATTATTGCTATTAAATGATCCCAGATCAGGATTCCCATAGAAGTTTCCCATAACATTTGAGTGTTCACATGGAACATTCAGGCTTTCCCTGGGGAAACTGTTTCCTATGGCCTGGCTTGGTACCCTTGTATTTGTTCTTGGCACTGCAGTTTGGGTTGCAGATGGAACCACTTGGACGCTATTTGGATGAGCACTGTACAAATGACTACAGACCAGTGGTGCTCAACCTACAGCCTGTTGGCCCTTTCTAGCCCCAAAAGGGACCATATTTAGCCTACAACATGGGGGATTAACAGTAAGCAGTTTGGCCCAGTACATCCCCTTCCCTATCATGCTGTCCCACTGATTTCCCTCAGCAGGCTGGAGATAAGCTGACTTCCTCCCTCCCCCTACACGGGCAGCCACCTCCCCTACTGAAGGGTAGCGGTGGTCTGTGGTGCGGCCAGCCTACAAGCACCTGGACGGATGCTGGTATAGATGGTAGCCCACTGACTTCAGGTCCTGGTTTCTCTCAGTGATGGGAGGAACTTGAGGTTGATGCTGATGCAGCTCATTTTGGAGGAGAGAGAGATGTCTGTGTTGCTGACTGCAGCTCCCTCCATGTGATTTAGGTGTAGATGAGTTCCTGTCTTCTGAGAATAGCCAGCGCAGAGGAAGAGGAGAGATCTTGCTGGTGCTGAAAGGACAGAGTGGAGTCTGCAGACACTGTCTTGATGGCCTTTCCTTTACATGCATTGCAAGCCCCTTAATTACCAGGCAGGGGCATGAACAGATAGGGGTGGAGACTATAAGGTTAGAAGGAATTTCTAAACACTTGTTAAAAGCTCTGGCGCGTCCTCAACTAGGAGCTGCTGCTGCTCCTGCTCCTCCTCCCTAGAGCCAGAAATCAAAAAGGAGCAGAGGTGGGAGGTTGCCCAAGCTATGGGATGCACTTTCTTTTAGCCCCTTTCCCATGTGCTTTCAGTGGAGCATGGGAGACAGTAGCACTGCAAGATCTTGCTTCGCTTTGGGTTCAGCCTCTTGCATGAAGCAGTGAGTAAGAAGATGGAGCGTTCCAGCTCTTGGCTCACACAAAGGGTGGAGAGAGGTTATGTCCTCCCATGGTTAGGCAGTCTCTAGCATTCCTCAGAGAAATTGAGACACCCCGTCCCTCCCCCCACCAAATATCTAGGAGAATGAACTCCACTATCTACTGGTCAGGAGGACTTGGTGGGGTAGGGACCTTTACTTCCACGCATTCAGGATGTGTCTTTTCTTACAACTCATTCTCCCCGTCTTTGGTGTTGAAGTTGCAGATAAATGATGGATGGTCTTTGGTAGGGTCAGCAGGAGCAGTCAAAGCCCTGGATGCTTGTAGCAACATTAGGCTGAGTGGGCTGCTCTTCTACTGCAGAGTGGAGTCTCCTCCTGTCTCCGTTGCAGGCACGTTGCCCAAACATGAGTGGAAAGGGAGAGGGAATGCAGTCCAGAGGTTAAAAGACAGCCTGGGAGCTGGGGATGTTCAGCTGTACTTGACTGGGCAAATTGCTGAGCTTCTCCAGGCCTCAGGGCTGTCAGTGAGATGGCGCAGTGCCTGGCTGTGTCCATGCTTTTCTGCCTGTATGGCCAGGGGTATTTATTTTATTTTGCGTTCTCTCCAACTGTGCCCGTGGGTCTGAGCACATGAACAAAACGAAACGTCAAAGAAGAAGCACTTGCAGAAGTGCCGAGTATTCCTTACTGCAGAGAAGTAATTCTCCCATCAGGGTCCTTTGAGGTGCTCTGTGTATTTGATACCACATTTCTCCTCACTATGCAATTCCATACTCCTCTCCCCTGTTCCCAGACAGAGTCTAATGAGCCGACTTCTCCAGGGGCCCGGCATCCAAAGGCTGCTGAAGTCGCAGAAAGACCCTGTTGACTTTCAGCGGCCTTAGGAACAGACCCCAGGTTCATCGCACGCCTTGGGTCCCGTGTTAGCTAGCATGAGCCGGGAGGCCCCTGCAGGTTTAATTAACTGTCGTTTGTTAAGAGGGAAGTTCCTTAATTTCAGTTTTTCCTTTGACACTGTGTGCACGGAAACTTACCGGTGAACATGTAACTGGCCTTTTTGTAATTCTTTCTGGTTTTGTTCTTAACCATAATGGTTGTATATCATACCACTTTATATACATATATATAATATATAAATATATATAATTTTTTTTAAAACCTTTGAATCTGCTAGTTCCTCTTCAGATGTTCCTGCACTTACCCAAAATGTTTTTAAATTGTGAGGGTTAAACTGAGGATTGAGCCCCTTTTTGTATCTTTTTTTCCTTTTACTTCAGTAGTTCTATTGATTGTACCGTAGCTATTTTTTACTGTAACTTTTTTTTTTTGTTTTGCAAATACTAAAAAAACAAACAAAACTGAAACTAAAAAACCTAAATGTAATTTCTGTGGTTTCTATTCAGCTTGGGTTTCATGTTTTAAAATAAACAGTTAAAAACTAACCTACATACCACTCTTCTATTTAGTAACTTTATTGGTAGCATCTTCTGCTTTTAATATTTTTTTAAGGCATATTTTACTACAGTACACAAAGTTGTATATGCTTAGCCGTGCACTGCGTGCATGAAACAAGGCCAAGTGGTACCGGTTCCCACAGGGACAAAGGGAGTAGAAACGATCTAGTATGGTGTTTTGTAGAAATGCAGAGACCTGGAGGCTCTTAATGCCAGTGACGTTTAGGATGTACACAAGTATTTTCAGGCTATTGCTGTGTCTTTCATTCTGGATCTGATTTTTTTGGTGTTAGAAATCCTGGCATTTATAACCACATCCCAGGAGCAGACCCTGTGCTAAAACTAGGTAAGTAAAGTTTCTCAAGAGTTGAATGAAGACAATAATCAAGGTGGTGGTTTCCCCCCCAGTACAGGGAAGACTCCAAAGCAAGATCATTCCTTATCAGTCTTCATAAGCTTTAATGAGGAACGTGTTCTTGGCAGATTTCCTTTCAACTGTCCCTCCCCGTTGTAACAAATACCCATGTGGAAGATGGCGAAGTGGCTGCTTGCAGCATGGGCCCACTGCACCTTTGAAGGAGCTGCGCACTGATAAAGGAATCGCCTCCCTGATCCGCTGGCTGTGTCGGGGCCTGCATGTTGCTATAGGCGTTCCAAGCACTTGCTGTTCCAATGCCCTTTCTCTTTATTGTGCTTCAGCAACAGTAAGCAAAAGGATTATCTTTACTGGGAGAAGTAGAAACTTGACTCTGTTCTCATGTGGGCTGATAATATGGAAAAAGCCCCGAGGTAATGCAGAGCCTCATGGCCCCCTTCAAGAGGGAAATGTGACGTGCGTGCCCTTGTCAGCGTAAGCCTGGAAGACTAGCTGGGGTCATTTGGTACGGGTCTGCTCTTGCAGTATTTTAATTTTTTATTTTTTTTCAGGCCTTCATCTGCATGATGTTCTGGCCACAGGCCCCTTTGTGGCATCGCCACATAACAGAGAAGCTAAATCTTTGGTCTTCCTGTCAAGTGGTTTTGGTTTGATCTGTGGGGCCTACTCACCTTGACATAAGGGTTCTGTTTTTAGCTGTGATAGCTGCCTTGCACCGCCTAGTACGTCACCCCTGCTGGTGCCTGGTGTACCAGAGCAAGCCGTAGGCCTTGCCAACTAAGGCTGGAAAACCTTGGTGAAGTCACATGAATGACTGTGGAAACCAAGTTGCCAGGTCTTGATGCTCAGTCCACCTGCCGAGTTCAAATTGCTCAGGATGGAGATCAAGAATAAAGCAGGGGAGGTGAGCATGTGGGAAGGGGCAGCGGGGGATGACTAGAGAAAATGGGCAGTTTTAAAAGGATTACCTAAACTTTCCTGGGAGGACCCACACGGTAGCTTCCGAGTCCCCACGTGATGGATTTGCTTTGAGAAACCAGATCTTTGAAGCTGCTGCAGTTCCAGCGGAAGTTGCCTGTTGCCGTTTGCTGCTTTGGGCTGAGTGCTGAACAAGTTGGCAACGCTGCCACGAGATGGCAGCAGCAACCCAAATTCACTGCGGGTGTGATGCTGCTGGGTTTGAACAAGGCTTCTGAAAGGCAGGTCAGCTTTCCGGCCCTGTCAGGTATCCCGCAGACCAAATGTGAGTTCCTTTTCCCCCAGTGCTAGCGAGTACAGAGCACGGCCTTCCCTCCTGGTGCAAAGATCTCTCCCGTCTCTTGGAGTCCTATGTGGAGCAGCAGGTCAACAGGATGAGCTCCTTATGTCTAGGATCATAGCCCCTGCCTTGCACCTATAAAAGAGATGGGTTGACTTCCTGATAGCCTGAGTGCAATAGGCTGTAGAAAGACTCCCATGGACTTCATAGGTGTTTGGAAGTGTTCAGGGCACAGCTGCTATCAGTCCTTTCTTTCCTACAAATTCAGTAATTTTGAGTTGCTGATATTTTGATTGTATTGTGGGACTCAAACGCTAAGCCTTTGTGTATCTGGAAAACTAGGTCAAAAGTGGTGGGGTTCATTGCCCCACAGCTCGCATGCAGAGGTCTGGATGTTGGGGTGATACCAGGGGAATTGCAATTCTGGTGCCCCATGTCCCTGTCCTTTCCTCTGGTCCCTAGCGTTTGCTGAGGAGCTCTGGTCCCATAGAAGAGAAAACCAGGCATGGTGATTACAACTTGATCGTGGGCATCTACTACAGACCGCCTAGCCAGGGAGACGAACTGGACCGGGAATTCTCGAGTCAGCTCGTGGAGGCTGTAAAGTCAAGGGACGTGGTTGCCACGGGTGACCTAAACTACCCAGACATCTGCTGGGAGCAGCAGTCGGCCAGGTCCAATCGCTCACGTAGGTTCCTGGCCGGGATACAGGACCACCTAACCCAGGAGGTGCATAGTCCCACCAGGAGAAATGACTTGCTGGACTTGGTCCTTGCCACAGGCGATGACCTGGTGAGGGCTGTGCGGGTACTCGACCACCTGGGCGACAGTGATCATCGCCTGCTGGAATTTACTTTCCAGCGCAAGGTGGTGAAAGCAAGCAGCAAGGCAGAGGTCCTCGACTTCAGGAGGGCCGACCTCTGTAAGCTAAGAAGGTTAGTAGGAGAGGAATTGGGGTCTTGGAGCTTCAACGAGATGGGAGTCCAAGACGGGTGGTTGTTCCTCAAGGAGACGATCCTCCGAGCTCAAAGGGAGTCGGTCCCAATGCGCACCAAGGGGGGCAGGAGGGCTAAAATCCCCCATGGCTCAGCAAAGGCATCCAGGGATGCCTGAGGACAAAAAAGGAGGCATACAAACAGTGGAAGCAAGGGGCTATCGCCAAGGAGGTTTACACCTCCATTGCTCGGGACTGCAGGGAGTCTGTTAGGAAGGCCAAGGCAGAGATGGAGCTAGGGCTAGCGACCAGAATTAAGGATAATAAAAAGTCCTTTTTCAAATACGTAGGAAGTAAGAAGGCGGCACCCGGTAACGTGGGGCCCCCACAGGATAGGCTTGGCAATCTGGTGATTGTGGCAAATGAAAAAGCTGACCTCTTTAATGAATTCTTTGCCTCCATATTCCTGAGCAGGAACTGGGACCTCTGCCCCGCCAGAACTGCGGATGGACCCAGGGGAGGCACCACCATGCCTAGGGTCAGGGACAACCTAGTTGGGGAACTTTTGGTGGGGCTGGATGTGTTTAAATCAGTAGGTCCGGATGCTGTTCACCCGAGGGTGCTGAGGGAGTTGGCGGGGGTCATAGCAGGGCCCCTGGCATGGCTCTGGGACTCTGGCCAGGTACCAGAGGATTGGAAAAGGGCCCATGTGGTCCCCATTTACAAGAAGGGGAGAAAGGAGGACCCCAGCAATTATAGGCCAGTGAGTCTTACCTTGGTCCTTTGAGAGAATGTATCAAGGAGCACCTGTGCAAGGGCCCAGCAGGGGAAGTAATGCTCAGGGGCAACCAACATGCGCTCACTGAGGGCAGGTCCTGCCTGACTAACCTGGTTTCTTTTTATGATCAGGTCACACAGTCCTTGGATGAGGGTGTTGGGGTGGACGTCGTCTTCCTGGACTTTAAGAAGGCCTTTGACATGGTTTCCCACCATGTTCTCTTAAAAAAAACTAGGTGACTGCAGCATTGATGCCTACGCAGTCAGATGGGTGGCAAACTGGCTAGATGGTCGCACCCAGAGAGTGGTGGTGGACGGGTCGTTTTTGACCTGGCGGGATGTGGGCAGTGGAGTCCCCCAGGGCCCGGTCCTGGGGCCTGTACTGTTCAACATCTTTATCAGCGATCTGGATGTGGGTGTGGAAAGCACACTGTCCAGAATCACTGATGACACTGAGTTGTGGGGCAAGGTGGGCACGCTGTGGGGGGGGACAGAATCCAGCTAGATCTAGACAGGTTACAGAGGTGGGAGGATGAGAATAGGATCCAATTCAACGCAGGCAGGTGCAAGGTGCTGCATCTAGGGAGAAGGAACCAGCAACACACCTATAAGCTGGGGAACTTGTCAACACGGTGGCAGAAAGGGATCTTGGAGTCATTGGTGACTCCAGGATGAACATGAGCCGCCAGTGCGAGGACACGGTCAGTAAGGCTAACCGCAGCTTGTGCTGCATCTACAGACGCATCACGAGCAGGTCCAGGGAGGTGATCCTCCCCCTCTATGCGCCATTGGTCAGGCCACAGTTGGAGTACAGCATCCAGTTCTGGGCACCGCACTTCAAGAGGGATGTGGCCAGCACTGAGAGGGTCCAGAGGAGGCCACTCGCAGGGTTGGGGGCAGCGGGCAGGCTGTATGAAGAGAGGTTGAAGGGCCTGAACCTATTCGGCCTCTGCAAGAGAAGGCTGAGAGGGGATCTGGTGGCCGTTTACAAACTCACCAGGGGGGACCAGTGGGAACTGGGGGAGGATCTGTTCCCCCAGGCACCACCTGGGGTTACTAGGGATAATGGCCACAAATTGTTAGAGAGACGGTTCAGGCTGGACGTCCAGAGACATTACTTTACAGTTAGGGCTGCCAGGCTCTGGAATGGGCTCCCAAGTGAGGTGGTGCTCTCTCTTACCTCGGGGGTCTTCAAGAGGAGGCTGGACAGATATGTGGCTGGGGGGGTATGACCCCAGCCCCCGGTCCTGCCCGTATGACCCCAGCACCCGTTCCTGCCCGGGGCAGGGGGTCAGACCTGATGATCTGTTTAGGTCCCTTCTGACCCTAAGCCCTACTATACTATGATACTCCCTTGAAACATGATGAAAATAGTTTTAAGTCAGAAACTTTTTTTTTTCTTCAGACAGTTGTTCTGTTTTTCAGGTCTTTTTCTGTTATAAACAAATTGTAGCAAAAACAGACACTTCCTGGAAAGCTG